GCCCCCAACGCAAAGTTGTGGAAACTACCACGCGTGTCTCACCCAAATGTCTTTCATGTGGCCATATTTTTGAAATCTGCCCCAGAGTGGGGCACGCCCTGCAAAGCCAGCGCATGTGCCACCCATGCATTGCCAGCGGGTCATGTAATGCCATCCATACTATCGAGAGCTCAAAATGTGACATAAACACCATCTAAGGTCATTCTACGATCTGACATAATCTTGGCCGGATGGGTCGTCTTGCAAATTTACGATGTCTATGTTTGATGACGGCATTGGTAGCCTGCCAAATTTTAAGTCACGTAACTTTGGGAGTTTTCCAGTCTACCTCTGTGACATTCACCTCGAATGAGCTCTACAGCACCAATGGTGCATGCAATTGGTTTACATTCATAGTAACTATGGCTGTTTCCAGGCAGTGGCATAGCCAGGATTTCACAAGGGGACAGGGTGGATGTCAGATCGGGAGGTCTTCGCAACTAATGGGGACCTATGTAGCTAAAATTATGTGATAGCGTAAGGCAATGCTTGATATGAAAGGTTAGTCTTACCTTATGTCTTTATACAGCTAGTCTTTGTGCTAGTGCTAGCTAGTACAGCTAGTACAGCTAGCTAGTCTTTGTACAACTAGGTATCGCAGCTCTTAATTATTATTTTCGCGAACTAAACCTGCCGATGGAGCTAACGAAGAACAAACGACTAATGCCCAAAGGCAATTTGGCTTCTTACCGAATGAACTCTGTTGCCACCTTTTTTTCTTCGATGCAAATATCACCACACACGTCTCATTGACTTACCAGTAGATTGGTGAAGACTGAAGGATCATTGCGAGCTAGAGCCTCCCTGGAAGGCCGAAGGATGATCATCACGGCCTCCCTGGAAGCTAACATGCGTCAACATGCCATTTTAAAACTGATACAACGCATGAGCACATTGATCTGGGTATAACAATGTCGCATAAACTAGTCCTCACATTTGTCGTATTTTTCAAGCGTAGTAATAGTTGATGGAGTGAGCCACCATGATCAGCCCGCAATACACACCGGATGCAAGCAGCATCAAAGTTCAGAGCTCCCGCCCGCTCTTCTCTGGGTGGGGTGGAGGCTCTTGCTCCCTCACGTCTCACCAGTGAAGCGACCTGGCCGCGGTCTGAGCTTCATTCGAACCAAGTATATGCCACAACGGAATCGGGACGTCATAGTGTGATTTGGTGAATTATGTTTTACGTTTCATGTCTAGATGAAATGAAACAGCGAGTTGGAGTGGGGTCCAGATTCTGTTTTGCAACCTGCCTTCGCCGAATCCTCAAATCCTTCGCCAAATCCTCCTCAGCTCACAACACTCACAGCCGGTATCAAGGTACGCTGCGAGGACGTACATGTGTAGCCGGCATCACGCTAGTCCGCCTGCTCATCATCATCGATCGTGACCAGGGAGCCGTGATCAAGTGTGCAGGCCGCGCGTCTGGCCAGGACGCTGCCGCCGCGCTGCACCCACGGGCGTCGACCGCGGCTGGCGCGCGTGGGCGCCACACGGGCCCGTCGAGGTGCGGTGGGCGGTATTCGTCCGGACCGGCGGCGCGGAGCTGTCGCCGTTCGTCGCTGAGCGGACGGCCGCGCCGCCACCACAGCGGTCCAAAGCTCTGATCGGTCAAGAGCAGTGAGAGCGACGCGTCGGGCTCCACTGATTGGACGCCGCCCCGTCGCGTCCCGCGCGCCGGTGCCGGGCGCTGCTGGGAGCGGGGGGGGGGGGGGGGGGGGGGGGAGGGGGATTCTTGCTCCCTCACGTCCCACCAGTGAGGCGGGCTGGCCGCGGTCTTCCGCGTGGGCCCGCCAGGTCGCCGGCGCGTCGGCGGCCGGCACGCGTGAACGCCCCGTCCCGGCTCGAAGTCGCCAGCTTACCGACGCCCCCTCCGAACGGCGAGAGGAGCGGATCAGCATCCAGCAGCCAGGGGCACCGACGTCCCCTCCAAACGGCGAGAGGAGCGGATCAGCATCCAGCAGCCAGGGGCACCGACGCCCCCTCCCACGCTCGGCCTCCAGCGGCGCGGCCGCAACCTGGGACGGAAGTCGGCGGCGCAGCAGCGTCCGACCAGGGGGAGGGAGGGGGGGGGGGGGGACGTGGCAACGGCAGGCTACCGGGCAAGGCTGCGGCGGCCGCGCGGCCAACTTCGCGACCGTGCGCCCCGTTCCAGGTACGCTGGACGGAGCCTGCGCGCCGCCGGAAGTCTCATGTTGCTAGGCGGTGACCACGCCCACATGGCCACACACATGCCACACAAGATGGGCCTGGATCTGGCTGCTAGGGATTCGGCTGCCCAGGACATCGCGTCTGCTTCGGAGTTTCATTCATCCGCATTTGGGTTTTTAGTCCAAGAGGATGTTGGTGCTTGCATTGCACCGCGCTGTCTGATGAAGAAACTGATGACCAATAAATATAACAACTTTGTGGTGAACGAAATTTGAACTTTTACCGAAGGTTCCTGGCTCATCCAGAGGTGGAAGAAATGAGAGAAGGCTGTGTCATACATGGTATCGACCCAGAGTTGGTTCATGGTATCGACTCAAGGTTGGTTGGTTCTTGCTTTTAAAAAAAAGCAAAAAAAAAATGCTCATTCGCTTCCGTCGATGATTACCAAGGCAAGTTCGGTCTTGGACCAATGGTGCCTGTAAAGGACTTGAAACACCTGCGCGGCTTTTGAATATGTATAGCTTAATTGTGTATAGCCAAAGACAAAGCAATATTTAGCCAAAGTTTCTTGGATGGATTGAGACGAGGCGCTAGTTTCAGGAAGTGCGCGCACTATCGTCCTGGTCTGATGTGATAGTATTCTTAAGACTTTTCCGCCAGATAACTCCTCGGCCATTGTCAGATGTTGATATCTATCTGAGAAGGGCTGGATGATGTCTGGCTTTCAGCCATGCACGCGTCACAGACAGAGTATAGGTTTGCTCCGAAATGTAATCCATTTTGGTTTCGCCATGCAGAAAACAGAGCACGATGCGAGGACACACACACACACACACCACACACACACACACACCACACACACACACACACACACACACACACACACACCACACACACACACACACACACACACACACACACACACACACACACACATATATATATATATATATATATATATATATATATATATATATATTCAACACATTTCACATTTTTGTGACTCATGGTGGACAAAGAAAGCTATTCTTCACACAAAACAACAAGTTATGTACGATAATGACGTACCCACATACAATGTCCGCACATGTTGGGCATGTCATGCCCTAATTGCTGTGCCTTACTGACATGGAAAATAGACGGAATACGCCTTCTCTTAGCCAAACATATGACAGAACCCAGAGGGTAGATCTAGGGTCCCATAGGGCTCCATGTTAATGGGACTCTGGGATTGGATCCTGGGATCTCTTTTGGGGGCTCCAGGCGCTACTCTGCTTCCGGCACCAGATAAACGTTACTCATTCTCTCACGTACGGGTCTTTGCGGAGGAAATTTGCGCCCGTACATGCAGTCACAGCGGCTATGATATCGTCGCGAACGGGAGGTCGAGGGTCCATCATATACTATGATTGTGCAATTGCACCTCTAAGTCGTTTGCGCGTACATAAATTGATTGCCCGCGCAAAGAATGTAGACGAATGTGATACAGTTACGTTTACACCCTGCGTGATGCATTATTGTCAAAAGAACATTTGGACGTAATCCTCGTGAAACGCTGTCATGTGGTCCATGAACTTACGTGGGTGTATGGCTGTACCAGAAATTTGAGTTGGGATCAGTTGCTTTGCGCTTGTTGACACCATGTCTAGGACAGAAATGCCGTGGTGATGTAGCAAGCCTGCTTTTTCATCCAGTTTGCTTCAACAATAGTGAACAGTTCAACCACTTACTCATGACTTTTTGAAGAGGCACCTTGCGAGTGCCTCGCGTAGGCAGGGATCCGGATAGGCCCAAGCGAGCAATCCAGCGGTGGTGAGAGCACTGAACAGTCCCGCAGGAGCACGGAACAGTCCCGAAGGAGCGCGGAACAGTCTCACAGGAGCGCGGAACAGTCTCACAGGAGCGCGGAACAGTCCCACAGGAGCGTGGAATAGTCCTGCAGGAGCACGGAACACTCCCGCAGGAGCACGGAACAGTCTCACAGGAGCGTGGAACAGTCCTGCAGGAGCGTGGAACGGTCCTGCAGGAGCACGGAACACTCCCGCAAGAGCGCGGAACGGTCCTGCAGGAGCGCGGAACAGTCTCACAGGAGCGCGGAACAGTCTCACAGGAGCGCGGAACAGTCTCACAGGAGCGCGGAACAGTCTCACAGGAGCGCGGAACAGTCCCACAGGAGCGTGGAATAGTCCTGCAGGAGCACGGAACACTCCCGCAAGAGCGCGGAACGGTCCCACAGGAGCGTGGAACAGTCCTGCAGGAGCACGGAACACTCCCGCAAGAGCGCTGAACGGTCCTGCAGGAGCGTGGAACAGTCCTGCAGGAGCACGGAACACTCCCGCAAGAGCGCGGAACAGTCCCACAGGAGCGTGGAACAGTCCTGCAGGAGCACGGAACACTCCCGCAAGAGCGCGGAACGGTCCTGCAGGAGCGTGGAACAGTCCTGCAGGAGCACGGAACACTCCCGCAAGAGCGCGTAACAGTCCCACAGGAGCGTGGAACAGTCCTGCAGGAGCGTGGAACAGTCCTGCAGGAGCACGGAACAGTCCCGCAGCGGCGCGTAACGTTTGACAGTCAGTCGGTGACAACCAGGGGACAGATCAGATCATTTCATCGGCGAAATGATCACTAGAACGTTAAAATATGGTAGAACAGATGCGCGGTGTCCGTTATTGTCTGCTTTGCCCCATGTTGGAAACCGTTGGACTCTGGTGATTAGCTTACAGCGGATAGCCCATATCTCAGTGCAATACGATAGAATGCACCACAACACGACCACCGCCCAGGCCGACGACTCTGGTGTTGTTTCACAGGGAGAGAAAAGCTGCGATACGACGTCGAGTCCATGGTCTCTGCCGTGCTGGAGTCAGACGGTACCACCGTGGATGACGCCGAGTACTTCGCCACACTGCCCGACAACACAGTCTTCCTTCTGCTCCGGGACTCGGACCGCTGGCTGCCGCCAGGCGTCGACGTCCTCAGAGCAGGTGGCGGCCCTATCGCTCTTTCAGGACAGATGGCAGCACTGTCGCTATCCCGCTGGCCCTAACCAGGTGGCGCTGGCGGGGCCGGCAGGCCGCCGGTCTCATGCTGACCTTGACACGGGGCACGCTTAAGCTGCCGTGTTGGTAGAAAAAATGGCAGACCAGGGGTTAAATGCAGATGAGCTCCTCCAAAACTTTGAAAGGCTCGTCGTGTCATGCCATACGTGCATTCGTTTGAGGTGCCGCAACTTTCTGGCAGTCTGTAGTCGGTAAGTTGATTTTGTTTGCTTTAGCCTAATCTCTGAGATGCCTTTGCCGTGTTCCAAGGCAACTGATTCCTCATCTTTATCTAAATTTTAGGTAAATGTTGTTCATGCTACAATATCGGGCGGTGATCTAGACTTCAAACCACGAGCGGACCCTCTTCCTAGGCCGGTGAGGCTGACGCCGACACTCGTTTGAGCCCAGCTGGACTGCATCGGTTCCGCACTATATTCATGATCTTCCTGGCTCCATCTGTGTTTGGTGTCTGACCCGGCTGGGGCATGACTACAGTCTGCATTCATCCTAAATTACTTGTTCTTGCTTCACGCTGAATAATTGCCTCACCCAACTATCCGGAACAGACTGCACGCACCACCCACGGGTGGGCCCAAAATTCCACCTGGTGGGATTCCGTCCGAGAGCCAAACTCAGACCCCGAATAGTGTGGGCTTAATCTCGGCGGATTAACCCGAAGGTGCATACAGTTCTGTCCGACCGTTAACCAATATCCTTCATCCTTTCGCTCTGAAATGGGCATGACTGACCAAAAGGGCTCTGATGTAAATAACTAACAAACGTCCAATATGCGATTTGTCGGCAAGAGGCCTGTAACCCGCCCCGGACCGGGCAGTTTGCCCGTGGTCTGTCCCTGACCCGACGGTCTATTCCTGATCTGTCCCTGACCCAGCAGTCTATCACTGGTCTGTCCCTGACCCGGCAGTCTATCACTGGTCTGTCCCTGATCCAGCAGTCTATCACTGGTCTGTCCCTGACCCGGCAGTCTATCACTGGTCTGTCCCTGTCCCGGCAGTCTATCACTGGTTGGTCCCTGACCCAGCAGTCTATCTCTGGTCTGTCCCTGACCAAGAAATCCATTCCGATCTGTGTCTGAGTTGTGCATGTGCTCTGACCTCAAGCTCTGACTCCTCGCAATCCGTACATAGCACGGTTTAGCGTGACTTTTGACCCGTCCGCAATTGGGTCCGTAATCCGTCCCCTATTTAATACGTCTGTAGTCTGTCCCTGATCAAGTAGAACCATGTCTGTGATCTATCACAGGAGGGCCCGCCACAGCCAGGAGGGGGGGGGGGGAGGAGGAGGGAAGGACGTGACTGCAAAAACTCCGTTCTTGATTATGCTACTGACTCCAGTGCGTTCTTGTGAGTAAACCGTCTCTCTCTCTCTCTCTCTCTCTCTCTCTCTCTCTCTCTCTCTCTCTCTCTCTCTCTCTTCTCTCTCTCTCTCTCTCTCTCTCTCTCTCTCTCTCTCTCTCTCTCTCTCTCTCTCTCTCTCTCTCTCTCTCTCTCTCTCTCTCTCTCTCTCTCTCTCTCTCTCTCTCTCTCTCTCTCTCTCTCTCTCTCTCTCTCTCTCTCTCTCTCTCTCTCTCTCTCTCTCTCTCTCTCTCTCTCTCTCTCTCTCTCTCTCTCTCTCTCTCTCTCTCTCTCTCTCTCTCTCTCTCTCTCTCTCTCTCTCTCTCTCTCTCTCTCTCTCTCTCTCTCTCTCTCTCTCTCTCTCTCTCTCTCTCTCTCTCTCTCTCTCTCTCTCTCTCTCTCTCTCTCTCTCTCTCTCTCTCTCTCTCTCTCTCTCTCTCTCTCTCTCTCTCTCTCTCTCTCTGTCTCTCTCTCTCTCTCTCTCTCTCTCTCTCTCCTCTCTCTCCTCTCTCTCCCTCGTTCTCCCCTCCCTCCCTCCCTACCTCCCTCTTCCTTCCTCCCGCTTTCTCTCGGGTCTGACCGGCATTTTACCCTTGACAGAGGCGAATCTCACTGTGGTTTACTTCTAGGCTGCGGCCATGGTCCGGCTCCGTCCCGATTGACTTGTAGCTTTGGCTCGTCCCTGACTCGGCTGATGTGACTCGGCCTTGATGCGTATATGCGGTCCATCCACGACCTAAGCGCATGGTGTCTGCCTCCCTCCATTATGGACCAGGCGCCCGCTATGTAGCGCCTGGCCCGTCGGTGCCCGGCTGAGTTGTGTCTTGCTATTAGCTGGTTATGTCGCGCCTGGTCCGTCGATGCCCGGCTGAGTTGTGTACTGTCATCAGCTGGCTATGTGGCGCCTGGTTCGTCGGTGCCCGGCTGAGTTGTGTTCTGCCATTAGCCGGCTATGTGCCACTTAGTCCGTCGGTGCCCGGCTGAGTTGTGTCTTGCTATTAGCTGGTTGTGTGCCGCCTGGTCCGTCGGTGCCCGGCTGAGTTGTGTCCTGTCATCAGCTGGCTATGTGGCGCCTGGTTCGTCGGTGCCCGGCTGAGTTGTGTCCTGCCATTAGCCGGCTATGTGGCGCCTGGCCCGTCGGTGCCCGGCTGAGTTGTGTCCTGCCATTAGCCGGCTATGTGGCGCCTGGCCGTCGGTGCCCGGCTGAGTTGTATCCTACTATTAGCCGGCTATGTGGCGCCTGGCCCGTCGGTGCCCGGCTGAGTTGTGTCCTGCCATTAGCCGGCTATGTGGCGCCTGGCCGTCGGTGCCCGGCTGAGTTGTGTCCTGCCATTAGCCGGCTATGTGGCGCCTGGCCCGTCGGTGCCCGGCTGAGTTGTGTCCTGTCACCTGACCCTGCCGAGTCACGGCTTGTCTGAGCGCGTCTGACTGGTGCTCCACTCCGACAGCGCTCACCTGCATCCCCCGCATCGTCTGCCAGACAATGCACGCGCTCGACCTGCGGGACGAGGCGCCCTCCTGGAAGATCGCCGACCATCGGGGCCAGGTGACCATCCAGCTGCACTGGGACGCCGACCGGCGACAGGCGGTCGGCTCTCCCGGCCGGCGCGCACACATCGTGGTGCGCGGCGTGGGCGAGGCGCCGTTCGATCAGCGGAAGGCGACGTCGCCGGTCGCGGCGCCGTTCGCGGCGGCGCGGTCACGGCTCGAGGAGCCACCGCCGCCGTACGCCGTGCCGCCCGGAGCCGGGCGGCTCTCCCGCCAGGGCAGCTCGGTCGAGTCCGGCTCGGTGCACGTGCACACGGCGGAGTGCGGACCACACCACCACCCGCATCACCACCACCACCATCACCAGTACCAGCACCAGCTCCACGTGCAGCCGCGCAGCTCGCCGCCCGACGAGTGCGACTTCCACTGCTGCGCGCTGCACGCCGGCCGCGGCGCCATCTCGGTCAAGAAGTCGACGGCGACGTCGCCGATCCGCGAGCCACCGCCACCGCCGCCGGCGCGCCGACCACTCTCGCACGTGCGCTTCGACGAGGCGGCCAAGAAAGACAACGGACCGGCGCCGGGACCGTCCGGAGCGGCCGCCGCGCCCGAGGAGAGCTCCGAGTCCGAGGGCGACAACACGGCTAACGAGGAGGGCGTGACCGAGAAGCTGCTGCTGCTGGTCGACCAGCTGAGTGTGGAGCGCATGCGCTACTTGAGCATCAAGGACATCGGCATAATCCTGGAGCGACTCAGCTCCAAGATCCTGGACGTGGAGCGGATGGAGCGCGAGAAGGACGGCGACGACTGCCACAACTGGACGCTGAAGGCGACCATCCGCGGCGACGTGCTGCGCGACATTGGCGTCGTCTACCACGGCCACTACTATAGCATCGGCGAGCACCCGCGGTACGAGCGGCGCGTCGAGCCGCCGCCGCCGGCCGAGCCACCGCCCCCATGAGACACGGCGCCGCTCGGCGACCTCGAGCACAGTCGCTACGTGCCGGCCGAGCTGGTGGGGCGCTGGCGCGAGCAGCTGGTGGAGGCGCGCGCGCCGGCGGCCGCCTTCCAGGTACGGCCGAGCGCGGCCGGCGTGCTGCTGCCGGAGCCGGCGGCGCTACCGCCGCGCCGCGGCCGGCCGCCGCCGCGCCAGTGGTCGCCGCCGCCCCCAGCGCCGACGCCGCGCCCCTGCTGTCCGCGCTGCTGTCTGCCCGACGACGAGTCGCTCTGATGGAGGCGCCGGCCGCCCACGCCGGCGCGGCGGCGGCGAGCAGGGAGGTGGCGTCGGCGGCGGCTCTCGCCACCAGGCTCAAGAACTGACGGAGCCGACTGGCGGGGGTGGCGGCGTTGTGCTCCGGCCGCCGAGCCGGCAGTCTTGGCGCAGAGATTCCTAGTATATGCATGGTGACGTTCAAACATAGTTCAAATGACAGTTTTAGATTGATGGCTATGGTGTTAGGCATGCGACGGGGGAGCGGAGCTGTTGTCGTGTTCCATTTCCACGTGACACGGTGGTTGCCAGATCAAGTCTGCCGCTTTATTCCGATTGGCTGATGCTGCCGAATGCTCAGTTTCAGACATGGCTCCGTGCCGACTTTGAAACGTTATATTGTAATTATCTATCAAGTTGTTGAGGAGTGCTCTGATTAAGCTGCTTGTTGTTGGTGCTCTTCATGCATATTGTCCAATCCACTGCCGGTCGAACCAGTCGCCAAGGGCGAATGGTAAGCGTGCGCGACCCCAACTGTTGAGTTGAGTGCCGACTGTTTGCGATGAGTGCCTCATACACATTCTTGCGTATTTTCTGAGGGCGACGCCGCTCAGAGGCCAAATAAGTCGCTCTTCCCAGCTCTCATCTGCTGACTTGCCGCCACTCTCCGTGTTCCTCCGACCCGACTTCTCGTTTGAGCCAGTCGCAGCTTGCCAGTGTGTAGTGGTTGGCGCCTCCAGAACTGCCGTCTCCCGTCCCTTCGCATCGCACCGCACCGGCCACCAGCGCCCATTCACTGCCCTCTGCCGCACTGGCGCCGACGTCCGAGTGAGAGGCGTCACATGCGGATCTCCCGGCAGCATGAGACTGAAGCTGCTCGCGACCCGCGCGGCCACTTCCAGCCTGGTGCGCCAGATTGTTCGTCACTTTGTTATTTGCCAGTGCGGAACTGCCATATTTTCCAAGCCAGTGCCAAGACTACGAAATGCTGCAGCTGGGAAGGCTACGGAATCAGAGCGCGACAATGATGCGGACGTGGTTATTTGCTCGCGGACACAGACTTGCGGCGCGTCCCACAAATTCATTTCAGCGACCTACCGCTGCCACTCTTTTTCCCTCCATTCCGTTTCGCTCTCCCCATTCTCCTCTCCATCCTTTATCTTTCTCTCCCGCTCGCTCGTCGTCCCCAGCCGCGTCCTCGTAGCTACCCACGGCGAAGTACCACGGGTTGAAATGTTTAGCCATAACCGCCGCTGTTGGCCATTCCCTCGCGCCAAACGGCTCGTGCCAATCGGTGCTGATGTTCATGTAGAGGAGCTATGAGCTGGCGCGACTGGCGAGGCGGAGCTTTAAGGCGGGCGGCCGGCTCTGGGCAGACCACTGCGTATGTTCCTGCGAGGAGGGTGGCGGGGCGCTGTCGCGGCCCGCGTCGAGAGGGGGGTGGGGGTGGAGCCTCGACGGCGCGCGCTGCCAATCGGCGGAGGTGCTCGGAGCTGACGGCACTCCGCCGGGTCCGCGCCGTCGCTGGCCGATCGTGACCCGCCTTTAGAGGCGGGGATCATCCTGGTCCCTGGATGTGACAGCTAACTCGAGGTCGTTGAATGCGCCTTTCAGTGACGAGATTCTGCCGTGGGCACCAGCCTCAGATAGTTCCACACCAGCACATTTGGACGCTCTTCAGCTGCAAGTGACCCATGGTGTTCGATTAGAGCAGGTTTGTGGTATGGTCCATTGGTCGGTGTTCGGCCGTGACCATTGGGTTCATTTTAACCAAGACGTGCCAACGGTCAGAGCGCCTCAGCAGTTTTCAGTGCCAAACGAACGCAGGATTCAGGTCTGACAGGCTGGGGAAAAAAGTTTACACCTATGCGCGCCCTTTGCAAGATTCTGCCTGCGCTGCATTGTTTTAGCCGGATGCTGTGGGGTTTGAGATGAATGTGGTTGAAGTCAAAGGGCCGCGGAAACGGCATAGAGCTCTACGGAGTTTCGAGGACAGGGTATTGTTTTTACCCGATGACGACGCAGTATGACTATGATCTTTCGCCAAGGACCATCACATGTTCTTAGTGTTCAGCAACGTAAACTATGGACAGACAAAGACGTACAGTTTATAAGGGCTTGGTGGGTTTTGTTCATGCTTCCATCTTGCTTTCTTTCCCGAGGAGCCCTGTCAAGCCCTCCAAATCACGGTCAGAAGTAAATATGTCAGAAGGACTGCTCTTCGATGACAGAGGCGCCGTGGTGCTCCGACCCCCGCCCTGGCGCTATCCGCACCGGCCGACTGCCAGGTCCCGCTGACCCATCACTGCCACGCATCACTCCACAGCGCACGCTGTCGGCCCAGCCTGCGGTGCAACGGCGCCCCCCCCCCCCCCCGAGCCGGGTGGACGGCTGTTGCAGCGCCGCCACGACGACGACCGCGGCAGAAGCCGTCCACCGCCAGACGGCACAGGCGCGACAGCCCGGCAGGCGACGACTGAACGGGGGTGGAGAGGTCGCGCGAGGCGGCGAGGCCGCAACTGCAATGGCGCCGATTGTAAGAGACTGCTGCGCATAATAAACCTCATCTGACAGTACGGCCTGTCGCTGTGGCGGGAGAAGAATGATGCACTGTTATCTAGGGGCGGCTCCTGCTGTTACGCTCCAGCTGGTTGCTGGGGTGACCCGAATGGCAGGAATCGTGGACGCATTGGCCTTCACATTCTGATGGATTTCTGTTATCACTTCCGGCACAAGCTGCAAACAGCAGCTGACACAGACAGGCCATGATCGTAAATATATTATCGTCTCACTGCCGGCCTCGTCCATTCAGACGTTTCATCTGTGAGTGGAGGGTTTGTTGTTGACATCTGCCACTAGTGCCAACACCTAGAGTCGTTCCTTGTCAATCGTAACGCAAGACAATGCAGCTTGATAGTTGCAGCAGTGCATTATTCAAGATGCTGTTCACACAGGGTATGTAACATCGCTGCATTTATTGTGCAAAATGCTATCCTAAACAGTTGGCGACCATGGCAGTGAATTCTCAGCACTCCGTGTGTGCGTACATCCTGCCAGAACGTGTAACGGTAATCGGTAATCACCGGTAATCAAACGGTAATCACCCGTCAGCAACGGAATCGTGTCAGAGTTCCCCCGTCAGAATCGTGTCGGACTGCTCCCGCCAGAATCGTGTCAGAATGCTCCCGCCCAATGCCCGCAGCTCACAGCTCACCGCGATATCATAATCAGACCTCGACGCTACGAGAACCCCAAGAACCTGTGCGTACATCACACGTGTCTTCACACCATCCTCGGCGGGATCAGAGCGGGCGAACCCGCCAGTCCATAATTGGGCACACTGCTTAATCGAATGGTCCGCCATTTGACGCTTCACTTCTTATACTTGCACGTGGTGGACTTGATCTCGTCATTGGTGGTCGACTCAGCGTGCTGCCGCAGGTCCTGGTGCCCCTGCGTCACGCCCCACTCGTCGGGCTTGGACAGCGCTGCCGAATACGGCCGGCCGGACGACGGGTTCAGATTCTCCCAGTACTCGCGGTTGGCGCGCGCGCGCACCCACGGCTTGGTGTGCAGCATCAGACCGCCACCCCACATGTCGTGTTTGTCGTGCGACGCCGGCATCTTGCCGCGCTCCTTCTGCAGCTCCTCGGCTACGGCGCGGATATGGTACGACTGGATCTTGCAGCAGCCACCAATGTAGCGAATGCCCATGTCGTAAGCCTGGCGCGCGTATCGGTGCATGTCCCAGCGCGTCATGATGCGCGGCTCCAGACCTGTGCCGAGAACCGGTCGTGAGGTCAGCCGGGATCTGCGGTGCACACGGGCTCGTGGTAGGGACAGGAACCCACAGCAGGCGTGGGGGATAGGGGGGCTCACATGAGCCGGAGGCTCGTGAGATGAGCCGGGACCTGCAGTGAGACGGGCTCGTGGTAGGGCCGTGACCTGCAGTCAGCAGTGCTCGTGATAGGGCCGTGACCTGCAGTCAGCAGTGCTCGTGATAGGGCCGTGACCTGCAGTCAGCAGTGCTCGTGATAGGACCATGACCTGCAGTCAGCAGAGCTCGTGATAGGGCCGTGACCTGCAGTCAGCAGTGCTCGTGATAGGGCCGTGACCTGCAGTCAGCAGTGCTCGTGATAGGGCCGTGACCTGCAGTCAGCAGTGCTCGTGATAGGACCATGACCTGCAGTCAGCAGAGCTCGTGATAGGGCCGTGACCTGCAGTCAGCAGTGCTCGTGATAGGGCCGTGACCTGCAGTCAGCAGAGCTCGTGATAGGGCCGTGACCTGCAGTCAGCAGAGCTCATACCATTAACCTAGACCCGGAAGGGTAGAAGCTCGTGATCTAGTGCACGACTGGGAACTGAGAACTGAGCCGGTGCACCCTTTAAATGCGATAGGATAGGGCCAATACCTAAACGATTGCCATCCTCCCCAAAGGACAGAGCGATGGGTTTGACACAAACAGCAACGCGACTCATTAAACGACACGGACTAACGAACATGTGGCACCACCCAGCATAAAACCACCTGGCTGGAGCCAGACGTAACCAGACGGAATGGCAAACGGAGTGCCCGCACTCGCAACTCGGCGCCGCCAGGAGAAATCGACGCTCTCACCGAACCGCGGAGTCATCGCCGATTATAAGCGTTGTGTGAGGCGCCGACGAAATGGGTCTGCCAAGGGAGTCACAGTCACGGCACTCACCGAAGGGGAACTCCGGCAGATCGATGAAGCCCTGCTTCTTGGCGTCTGGCGTCCAGATGCCCAGCGGCTGCACCATCAGGTACACCTTGATGCCGGCGGCATCCAGCGCCTTCTTCATCAGCGCCATGGCGTCGAGGGAGACGAACGGGTCGAAGTGGCAGTTGACACCGACCACGTCCGCGCCGGCGCGCGCCATGCGGACGGCGCACTCGCCGGCAGACACGCCGTGGAGATCGCCCTCGGGGCCGATGCACATGCTGGCGCACACCGGCAGGCCGCTCTCAATCAGCGACTCGATGGCCCACTCCATCTCCTCGATGTGCTCATAGTACTGCGGGCAGATGGCCGTCACAGGCCGTCTGGTAAGGGGAGTGGGGGTGGAGGTCGCACGGGAAAACGGCATTTCTGCTCGTCCGAAGGATTACTGACGATTGGTTCTAAATGGAGAAACATATCTTAATTTTCTTCAGAGGGTATCAGTCTCCGGCGCAGGTATCACCAAACCACGTATTTCCAACTGGCTATTCCGACGCCTTACCTCAGCAATCAGGAAGTCGACTTTGTTTTCCACGAACACGTCCACCTGCCTCTTGAACTCGGCCTGCGTCTTCTGCTTTCCCAAGCCGCTGAGGTAGGTCGGGGTCTGCGAGATGCCTCCGGCCACCAGGGCGTCGCCCTCGTTCGCCACCTCTCGAGCCAGGCGGCATGCGGCGTCGTTGACCTGGCGACACTAGCGCCCCACACGGCCGCGGTTACAGCGTGATCAACTTGCGCGTCCTGAAGATGTCGATAAATTTCCAAGTTTTTAAATCTACTTTTACTGTTTTTGTTATTTTTTAAAGGTTTATTTCGTCCATAGCCCAGCCCTGAGAAAGACAAGCGAAGAAGGCGATTCTATCTAAAACACTTACATTCACAGCTTCAGGCTCCCATGCAGTCACAGATCCGGTGTACCAATCCCACAGACCCTCAAATTGCCCAAACTCACGGTGAACTTGACTCCGGCCTGGTTGCCACGGTTGTTTAGTTTGTCATCGGACGCGTAGAAAGTAAAGGTCTGCATGACGTCAGAGCCCGAACGCAGGAACTCCCGGTGAAGGCCTTTCACTGTGCACGGGATCACACAAATTGAGCGAGCTGCAGCGGTCCCCCAGACGCTCTGTCAGTCTTCTAGTCCCGCAGACGGCCAGTCAGTCAGGTATACAGGATCTTGAGCCAGTCAGTCAATCAGTCGGTCAGACATACAGGATCTTGAGCCAGTCAGCCAATCAGTCAGTCAGGCATACAGGATCTTGAGCCAGTCAGCCAATCAGTCAGTCAGACATACAGTATCTTGAGCCAGTCAGCCAATCAGTCTGTCAGACATACAGGATCTTGAGCCAGTCAGCCAATCAGTCAGTCAGGTATACAGGATCTTGAGCCAGTCAGCCAATCAGTCGGTCAGACATACAGAATCTTGAGCCAGTCAGCCAATCAGCCAGTCAGACATACAGGATCTTGAGTCAAACACAGTCAGGCATACAGGATCTAAGTCAAACACAGTCAGGCATACGGGACCTTGAGCCAGTAAGCCAATCAGTCAGTCAGGCATACAGGATCTTGAGTCAAACACAGTCAGGCATACAGGATCTTGAGCCAGTCAGCCAATCAGTCAGTCAGACATACAGGATCTTGAGTCAAACACAGTCAGGCATACAGGATCTTGAGTCAAACTCAGTCAGGCATACGGGACCTTGAGCCAGTCAGCCAATCAGCCAGTCAAGTATTCAGGACCTTGAGCCAGTCAGTCAATCAGCTATTCAGGCATACAGGATCTTGAGCCGAACACAGTCAGAGATACAGGATCTTGAGCCTAACACAGCCAAAGATACAGGATCTTGAGCCAGACAGACGGTCAGGTGTACAGGATCTTAGGTTTGTCAGTCAGTCAGCCAGTCAGGTATAATGACCTTCAGACACTCAACCGGTCGTTGTCAGTTCGTTCCACACGGGTCAGGCCATATGAGCCAAACGTGCCTGCGATGTATCAAAAGACAGGATGGCAAAAGCCTGCTCCATCCTATTCGGGTAAGCGGCACCGCACGTAGTCGCCATCTGACCAAGAATGCTAATCAGCTCAGAAAGGGGATTCATTTGAGAAAAAAAACACAATAAGTTCGGTGAATGGGAACACCAAAAACGATAACATCCGTTGATGCCGAACCACGGATGGTTGTTTCCACATATGTTAACATGTCAACACGTACAACTGAAGACGCCTGTCCTGTAACAGCGCGTGACCACACACCGCGAGCGTGGCACGGCTCAAAGCCACCACCTACCAGCTTCCGGAAATTCAACGCACGCCTCCGGGGTCCAAGGGCCGGCCTTGACGTATCCCCGTTTCTCCAGCTCGAACACGAACCCTCCATCTCCGATCACCACCTCGCCGGCGTTCAGCCGCTCCAGCAGACCCTGTGGGCAGCGTCGAGCCGTGGCGGCGCCGGCTGGGTGGTACAGACCGCCGGGGCTGCCACACGGTCGTGGTGCGTCTGTGCTGTACGCCGCCGGGGCGGCCACACGGCCGTAGTGCGCCTGTGCTGTACGCCGCCGGGGCGGCCACACGGCCGTAGTGCGCCTGTGCTGTACGCCGCCGGGGCGGCCACACGGCCGTAGTGCGCCTGTCTCGGCCGCTGCAGCAATCTCCAAGCCATGACGCCTTTCACGAGGACAGGATATCTCGTCTCCAGCTTTCGAAAAGTTCACCAAAATACAGGGCGTGGATGCTAAATGGATACGGCATCAGAAGGCATGTGAATGGCATGTGGATATGGCATCAGAAGGCATATGAATGGCATGTGGATACGGCATCAGAAGGCATATGAATGGCATGTGGATACGGCATCAGAAGGCATATGAATGGCATGTGGATATGGCATCAGGCGCTTGTCGGGAAAGGAAGTTTAAGTGCCTGGCGACACCACAAAGGTTCCCGACCTCATGCTCAAAGGGTGGCGAGAACTCACGACCATAATTATGCTTTTGGTCAAAGGAATTCATTGGCTGAGGGTAATTTTTACACGTGGACGCCGACAAAAGCCATCGTCCGTTGTAATGATTGGGTGCTGTCTGAAACTGGCTAATCGCTATTGTATTTTTCGTAATCGTAGCCGTGGAGGAGAATGAACCTGATAATGCTCAGGCTACGAAGAGGTACCATTAATTTGGGAGGCCCGTCACGAACAAGGAGAGGTCTCAAAAAGGCTAGGATCTGAGGATCTGTGGTGAGAAGGTAATCCAAGGATCTGTGACAGCATCGGGATCCGGTAGGAAGTCAACGACGTGGTCGATAGATGATCCCGCCCTGCACTATGGAGGTCCTCGGTTACTTAATTATGTGGTACAGCTGGAGGCCCTCGCTCGTAATGGATACGATGCAACAATAGATGCGATGGATACGGTGCCATCGTCGTATAGGCCCTCATGCCTATCGACGATCTCCGTCGTTAATAGGCATGAGGGCCTATACGACAAAGGAAGTGGTCCCCCTTCCGAACAAAATTCACGCGGCAGTGTCTGTCGCGACTGAGAGGGGGCCGTTGGCTAGGACAGGGGGAGGGGAGGGCTGTATTTCTATCCCGGCGACAGGGCGGAACTGTCTGTAACAGGAACTTTCCGCAGGTCGGCACGCGAGAACGCCATGCTGACATGGGACGCTTATTGGGTTAGAGGATCAAACGGCTCATCCAGCTCATCACTGCGACGTTGCCACCAGTCCAGCCCAGCAGGGGCCCTCGTTGGCACCACCCTCCCAGACCCCGCGCGCGATCCTGAGAACTCCGCGCGTTTGCGCGATTATTTCAACAACATCCCCTCACGCGACCCCAGGGCCTGGCACATGGTCAACGACCGGGGAACTGCTGGCCGTCCAGGAATAGCGCCCCGCTGCCGGCGAGGTGGGCCCACCGGGCCGCATCTGGGACGCGCGTGGCGTGGGGCCAGTCGTCCACGTGGTCCCCCCACCCACAGCCTTGCTTCCCGGTGCAACAGCACGATCAATACCGGTTGGGTTAGTTCGGTCGCAGCGGCCCTCGGAATGTACTGCGACAGACACAGCCAGGTGCTGGTAGCTGCGGACGACCATTGGCGGGCTGACTAGGAGCGGTAGATGGCTGCCGGCTGGCTGCAGCTGGGCGGACCGCAGGGTAAATGTTAAACGGACACACCGCTGTCATGCCAGTATGTGGTTCGCTGAAAACAGGGCAAAAAGCTTGCAATCAGCGTGCTGCTGTATTATTTATTGGGATATTTAAAGTCCCAAGAGAAGAGCACCGAGAGCCCACAACGAACGTGAGCCGGCGGCCGCCATCAAGCCTGCGCTGAATGAGCTCCAAGTGGTGAGCGACATGTTTACTTCCTTGCTGCGATCATATGCCTAACACAGCAGTCAGCTGACAGCTGTCTCGACGGTCAGTAGGCTATAAGGCGACCGTGCTGTGTTTGGCGTGGCGTTAACAGAGTACCGCCGTGATCGTGCATGGCAAATGACGAAGAAAAACCGTTCGTAAGCTGAAATGGCACTGCGCTGGTTGGTCAGTGGGCTGAGACTGCGAGCAGAGAAGCTAGACCTGAGATGTAGCTAGACTAGACCCCCATCGCGTCTGAGTCTGGGCGCCAAGGTCTGGGCCCATTGCCACCTAAGCAGGGCATTCCAAATGCTTTGAGAAAATGATGCATCCATGACCACCAGCCTGGTGACGCCGCCGCTTACCCATACTGAGCAAGGGCGAGTCCACGTCACCGCACATGGTAATGTGCGGCGGGCATGTATGCGGCGGTGGTATGCCCGCCGCACATTACCACGTGCGGCGGACATGCGCGCGCTGACGTGGGCTTGACAAATGGACAAACAAGTGCTTGATTTTAAGAAAGGAAGGCCTTCAGCTCCTGGTTTTTCGGCATAATGAGTTCCAAGTTCTTATATTAAGCTAACGACTCTCAGTTCAGTACATACCAAGGAGCGCTAGTTAAACGACGTTGTAGTACCAACTAACGATTGTATTGGCGTTAATCAATATTTCGAGCTATGCTCATCCTTAAGAGTACTCGTTAAAAGCTCCTCGAGCACTCATCAAGAGCGAGAACAAGAACAAAATCGCCATTTAACACTACAGCGTGATTTAACCAGTAGCTCCTGGCATATTCCAGGCCATCGACTTAGCACAACTTTGAGCTCATAGTTACTACGGTAATAAATACTCAGTGCAGTTCCGTGGACACCCACACCCGAGGCCAAACGCCATCTGCACCCATTGAAGACTACTGCCGGATCGCGGTCCGGCCAGCCGCGGTCACAGACCGACCGCGACCCCACGTGACCCGAGCCGCTGCGGGCGAGAACTGACGGCTAGACGAGACCCGACGCCCCTAGGGCGGGTCTGCGCCCGCTCGCCGCCTACGCACTGCGCAACAGCGAGGAGCAAACGTCCTGGTTGTCATTCATACGTACAGTCGTTGTTTCATGGAACGAAATGTTTTCTATTCAACTCATTGATACCATACGCCATCCTGATCATTATTCACGCGTCTTTTCATAGCATCCACTGGGGACGTATAATTTCGCGCTTGCGAAGGCTCCCCAATCCCAACAGCACACCGACATGTGGCCAGCCTGCGACCCCAGCTGCCATTACTGAGTCCCACCGGTGCGGCGAGGACATCGCGCCGAGAACAGGTCACCAGCATCAAAACTCCAGAATGTTGAGCGTGGGACTCCCTGCGCAGTGCGCCAACGCACCTCGACTCCCTGTAGTGCGTTGGTGTGTCGTGAACTCCGGTCCGCGCCGCGCGCTGGCGTAGTTCGCAAAGCGTGTCGAACAGCTTTGGTAACGCTGCCGCAGTTGATGTGTGTTGGAACTCACGTGGGTTCATTACATGGTGGCCACGTGTATCTCCGAGCTGTGGGCTAGGACTGGACCCCACTAGCTTGTTTACTACTAGGATGCATTTTGTGGTGTGTTGAGTGGTATAAGTGTTCGCCTCTGTACGTCATACACAGAGCGTACTTCATACCAAGAAGTGTTAGGAAGGTAAAGACTGCCAAATTAATCGACTGGCATGGAATGTTCAGCACGATCGACTCCCGCCCCACCAACCGGCGTATTCGTAAAATTGCTTAACGACACGCGGGAAGCCCTAACTCAACAATGCATGTAAACACGGGTGAGCCCTATTTCCAATGGCCAACGGACTAGATACGGGAGGATTGCCCTTACTGATCCCGTCATACGCAGGGCGCCGACCTGCTTGCCCTACCAGACACCACCGCGTTCCCTCGTTCCATTACTGACAGCGGCTCTGCTGTCGCCCTGCTCCCGTGTAGCGCCTGAGCGGAGCCCAGCACTGGCCAGCGCGCACGTACCTTCTTCACCATGGTGCCACGATGCGTGGTGAGCAGAAGCGTTCTCGTCAGCGGTGCTCCCCGAGCCTTCGCAGCGACCGAACAGGATTGCGCGGCTGAAACCCGCCGCCTTTATTAGGGTTAGAGCTGCAGATGTGCGGCGTTCGGGACCGGCGCCGCTGACCGCCAGCTGTTTGGGGGCGGCCCGGCCGGGCCTTCTGAGCCCCCCACCCCCTTCCCCGATCCGATCGGGTCGCGTGGCAAACACGGCATCGGCAAACGACGAGTAAGCATGAATGCGTGAGAATGGTGTCATAGGCGTTCTTTGCAACAAACTGATGCAACAGCGTCACACCGGGCGTCAGCCATGGGGCACTGCCCCGCTCAATAGCAACGGTGGCGACGCGTAGTGGTCAGGAACAGGCACCTAAGGTAAACAAGCTCTCCACGTGCGCATTGTCGTGCGAACATGACTTACCCCGACGGTGTAGGCGACGGTGTGGTGGACGGGTCCTTCCGGGACAGGTGTAATTATGCATGCTTTTGGGAGGGGAGGGGGTCCGAGCTCCTCCAATACTGACTTGAGCCCCCTCGCTGCCCTCAACGTAAAGATCTCACATTGTTGGCTAGCGCTTCACACTAGTCCTCACCGTGAAATACCACATTGCACTTACACATCGCATTCATACCTCCATACATCGCCACATCCATACATTGTGGTTCAGTTTAGCGCACAGTTGCTCCGCCTGCCACACGGTATAGGTGTGCGGGTCCGGGAGATTTCGTTTAGCGGTCACCGCAGAGCGACCCCGGCACAGCGCACCAGGAAGTGAAAAACGTGTTCACTGCACATGTATATTATATCCACAGCCGCAACCAAGTCGAATAGTTCTCAAATCGTTATTGTCCAGACCCAAACACAGTCATTCACCTTGGAAATAGCCAGCACAATCAATTAAAATCAATCGTGCGTTTAATACAAGTCAGATTTTTGCGTGCAATCATTTACAAACACCTAAAGGAATCCCCCCCCCCCCGTAAAGGCCGCAGAGTCCCACCCTCCTTGGACCGTCCTCATGAACCTACCCCAGAGGGGCCACGGTGCGGAGTGCTTCGAGTGGCCGAGATCCACGGCTTACATAGGGTGTGCGTCGGACTGATACAAGCCTTTCGATTGCACATGCGCACCACCCTGCTATGACACCTGGAACACCTGATTCGAAGCTCTCTCCATCCCTCAGCGGCTAGCCTCGGCCTACTAATCCAGCGCGGCCGCCACCTGCCACCTAGCAGGAGTTCTTCGAGTCAGCTGAACCTTGGTGCCGTTTGCAGCCGAGCCCGCGCCACACACGAAGGACGGTGCCCGTCCATCGTTCCAAGCGTCCGTACCATGTCGACCGCGGAACGGCAAGCGAGCGTCACACCTCCGTGGGGGAAAATGTTTACATAATATGTTTACAGCAATACCATTCTTTGTTACCAATTACAATACCAATTACATCATAGACCCCACAATGTCTATGATCAAAAAGAGGATACCGCCCTAGAAAAATCCCGAAAAGTTCTCGCAGTCCAGCGAACACCTGGATGCATACTATTTGTATCATGTCCAGTGTGCACCAAATAGTATTCTGTAGCTACCTGATGTTTTTGTCATGCCAACCACTTCATATGATAGACCAGTCTGTAGATGTTCAACAAGCTTGACGCATGATAACACCTGGATGGAGAACAGGGGATAAAGAACAAGGACTTCAATATATGGCCACTTCTAAAAGTTCAAGGATTCCGATGTCTGGCGAGCCCCAGCACTCTAGTCTTACTTTGTTCCTCGTGAAGTTGCCGTCCAGCGGACCTGGGAGGTACTTGGTTGAGGTCCGAGAGATCGGCGACTTGGAGAGCGTGGCACCAACTGTCGGCCGCAACGTCAACATGCAACGGCTGACGTCAAATCGCCAGAGGTGAGCTCAGCACTGTGAAGCCAGTGGGAAAAGGTGAAGAAGCCAGGGCGAGACGACTGGCCGCACTCAGAGCCAGGAGGCGGTCCCTACAGAGAACAACACTAGCGGGACCGTAGCGTGATGGGATCGGACTAGCTCGGTGGGTGCGCTCGCCAGCGCAATCCTGTCGGCGCTCAGTGAACAACGGTGGCCTGTCCCCTAGAGTATCACCGCAAGACATCCAAACGAGAGTCGAAGAACACAACAGTTGAACAGTCAAAGTCTGCTCTCCTCCGTACGTATCTCTTTGCCATGCCCCACCACCACCCACCCACCCCGTACTACGTCCTAGAGACGTACTACCCCCCTTCGTCTGTGGCGCCATCTGTCAGATCGTGAGCCCGGCGCGTGGCGTGATGTAAATCTCCCGGCAGTGGACCGCTTCCGGGACGGCGTGGGCGCGCGTGAGAGAGCTGGGACGGGTAGGATGTAGTGGGAATGAGCACTGATATGAAACCAGGGGAAGGCATCTTCTTAAGTGAAGTGTAACTGAGCCTGTGGTTGCACCTGCCTTGTTTAAAATAAGTAGCGTGGCCAAAAACGCTGCAGCGCTTGATGTCAGATGTGTAAATATAGCAAATGTAAGATGCATTTTTTAAGTGCAAAAGGATGGATCAGAGGAAGAAAAAGAGAGACTGAGGATGCAATCGGTTGGTGAATTTGATGATCGTGAGTGAACTAATATGTTTAACAAACGTTTAAATGATCTCTTGCGCATCGCCACCTTAGCCCAAGATTCCGAAGATGTGGTGTTGAAAGGATTTCAAGATCGAGGTGACTATTGAACACATTACCCATGCAAGCGATTTTTATATAATATGCCTCCGGTCGTTACTGCGGTATTAGAAGCATTTCAGGAAAAGCGCGCACAGATAAAAATTTAGTCCTGGCTCTGGGAACGATACCAACGATTGTGTTTCATTAAAGGGAAACAGTTTTGCTACTAGTTTTTAAAATGTATGACAGCCTGTGACAGAACTTTATATAATTACAAGTTTAATTCACGAACTACCAAGTTCTTGTGACTATCGATCTCGTAATTATGCACCCAAACGCCATGTAAAAATGCAAATACCTTGCGACAAAGGAGACGATGCCCGAGACATTTAACTGAAGGGAATTTGTCATCAGATATCTCAGCCGCTTGTCGAGCTGTGAGGACCACTCACGGAGAAGCGAGCGATATCCTGCAATGGAATAGTAAATAGCTACCTACACACATGGAAAAAAGATACAAGGTGTCACAATCACAAATTACTGCAAAGCTCAGGAAATTTGTGTGTGAAAACAATTCCCTGCGCACGTGAACAAAAAAAAAAATATGTGAATTTTTCAATCAACAAAGCTATCGTGGCTGCGATTCGTATTTATACGCTGGCAGAAACAGAAGTAAAGCCTGGTTTTGTCTCGAGTCGCATTAATTCAGCGACAATTTAGCTATGAAGCAACCGAAATTTATATAGTTACTTTCGGATTGGTGTTCCTTATGACTGCAGCCAACTGATCGCGCGTGGTTAAGTTGGTTAAATTTACCAAGTATTGCACCACTGCCGTACAATTTTAAATCCAACAGTGATTCTTATGCCCGATGTGCAAGCCCCGTTACAAGGAGTTGAACACGTTATGACGACGCTTACTCAGCATAGTTCATAAAGACCGACCGATGTAGATTAGAACGAAAGTTACACCCCTTACTAACTTGTCACTATATGGGCAACTGTCAGCATTTGGTTTCCTGATGTTTGAATCACGATACAGCGTCAATAGATAAAACTCTTCCCCAGCCCCATTAGCGCAGCAGAGTTTCAAGAAAACACGAGAGTCTTCATTAATGCATTCCTCTCAAGGGTAAGAACATGGCAAAAGTTCAGTCCTGTAAAAGAGAGAAGCCTCGCAACGCGTTGGTCTCGCACGGGTACATGAAACAACGACACAGGTGCATATAGCCATGATTATGTGAGTGGAACGTGGACAAGTGGCATTGCTGTCAGTAACGGATGGCTTACTAATTTATCACAAAATATTCCGGAATGCATTCACAAAACTCGTTTCTGGAGGGCAGAGAGGTGCATGGGGCCAATTGAGCCACGTTCAGGTATAACTTAGTCACGAAACTCGAAGTGCAAGTTTGAAATAGGATACGTCCGGGCGGACACAGTAAAGCAGGGTGTGCCGGGAGAACCACAGTCGGCCGGACACGGCACACCACGGCGTGCCGGGCAAACGTGGGGGGGTGGGGGGTAGGTGGGGGGGGGGGGGGGGCCCCGGGGGGTTTTTCGAAAAATGCCGCCAACGGCATTCTGGCTGGCAGAGATCCTATTGAGCGTCACGTGGCGTCAGTGGGGTGGGGGGGGGGGGGGGGGGGGGGGGAAAAGGGGTGGGGTGGGAGGGAGGGGGGGGGGGGGGGGGGGGGGGCGGGGGGGGGGGGGGGGGGGGGTGGGGGGGTGGGGGGGGGGGGGGGGCGGGGGGGGGGGGGGGGGGGGGGGGGGGGGGGGGGGGGGGGGGGGGGGGGGGGGGGGGGGGGGGGGGGGGGGGGGGGGGTGGGGGGGGGGGGGGGGGGGGGGGGGGGGGGGGGGGGGGGGGGGGGGGGGGGGGGGGGGGGGGGGGGGGGGGGGGGGGGGGGGGGGGGGGGGGTGGGTGGGGGGGGGGGGGGGGGGGGGGGGGGGGGGGGGGGGGGGGGGGGGGGGGGGGGGGGGGGGGGGGGGGGGGGGAGGGAGGCGACCGAGCTGCCTGTTTCGCAACGCTCGCAACGGTGCGGTGGACCACTGCCACGAGCTACAGAGAAGGTACGCATGAACGTGGTCTTGCATTGATACTTGCTGTTTTTTTCTACGCAGCAAAAAATAAAAACCCATTTGTATATATAGTCAGGAATGTGGGAGCATAAGTTCTATCAACATTGTAAGACACCATTGTGCGCGTCTTCGACGGCCAGCCGTGATCACTGACCGCGCATAGCCACAGCGGCGGCGACTTCCGGTGCCCCATCGCCGTCGCGTGCGCGTGGCGTGCGCACGGTCCGCCCCGCGCCACTGCGCCGGCCGGTGTGCGGCCTCCGCCAGTCGTCACGACCGTCCCGACCGTCATGCCGCC